GTTCCAGTGGTGAGGACCAGGGAGGGAATTTCCCCATGCGTGCCCAGCCGTGGCCCATCTGTGCCCCCTTCACTGGGATGCTACTCTGTGGGCTGGAGTCAGCATGAGAGCTATTTTTGACTAAGTGGCTACCTAATCTTACATAACCCTCAGCGATCCAGCCAAGGTCATTCGGCTTAGTGCGTGAAAGACACATCAGAGATAGTGATCCCCCTTCCCCAGAGCCCCTCCAGAGCCTGGGAGCTGGGAGGGTAGTGCCAGTGGTTCTGGGCCTTCACTGCGAAGCCCAGCTAGGACCTTCTGAGCACAGCTCGACTTCTGTAACAGTCCCCGGGAAAATTCCCCAAATATCTTGTTTCCTAATATCTCTGGCATTTGCGTAGAATTACAAGCTCAGGATGCAGAGAGTTTGAATCCTCCACTCCCTGCTCCCAACACACCCAGTTCCTTCCCTAATGTGGAGGTGCCTGAGCTGAGGACACTTGAGAGGCCCCATGGGTGGGGAAGATCTTTATCTCTCCTAGAGCAGAAGTGATAAGCCCACATTTAAACCTCAATTTTGTTTTATTGGAAAAGAGATAGAACAACGGCATTCAAGGTCCTCTGGTATCTAATCCCAAATAGCCTTCCTATCTCATCAGCAACCCCTTAGCCAAAAGCCCGACCAGTAATAGGTGCTCACTAAATGTTTAGTGAATGGAATTCACTGGCTGCTCCCCAAGACTTCCTGCTGCACCCAGCTAACTGCCACCGCCAGGTCCTGCTGGTGGACTCTGCACTCTGCACACACTGTTTCCTTCACCCTATAAGCCCTTTGCTGCATGTTCTACCTTCAGGGCCCAGTTCAAAGCCCAATGCCTCAACACCACCTTTGAAGAGCCCCTAAGCAGAATGTGTTGTGCTTTGGTCTATATTTTCCTAGCATGCTGCTGACACTTCTGTTTTGATTTTCTTATAACATAACTGGTTATGTGCTCATCTGTTTCTTCTGCCGGGCTGTGAGCTCCTTGAGGGCAGGGTCCGGCCCTCGGTTATCACTGCATGTCCAGCACATATTGCTGCCTGACACTTAGTGGGCTCCCTGTAAATATCCATTTGTTGGACGGATGGATGACTGGAGACACGAATGAGGTCTGCAGTTCACAGAATTATTTGTTTTTCAAATCTACCATGGGCTGGCTGAAGGAGAGAGCCATAAAGGATAATATCCCGAGTCAATGTTCTGAACTCACAGAATGGATTATAACTTTTCTTTTTCAAAAAATTTAATCTCACAAATAATTGGTGTCCAAACACAGCACAAGTGCAAGAAAATCACTTTTAACATTTTAGAATATCTTTTCAGACTTTTCATCCGAAGTTTTCACAGGAATGGGACCTCACTGTGCGTACTGTTTTGTTATCCATTTCCATTCTGAATATGTAGAGGATAACTGAGATTATTAGTGTTCTTCTCCGTTTAATTCAGGAGCTCTCATGTTAGGTCAAGGAGACCCCTCCCCAGTCTTAGTGGATTGGTCCAGAGGCAGGTTTTGATGCAGCTTGGCCAATCACAGTGTCAGGCTGCCCTGCCCACAGCTGACTGGCTGTGATTTGGGCACTTGACCTAAGGTGGCCGATATATTCCTTGCTTGGGATTTCTGGATTGAAGGCTAGAGACAGCTTCAGGTATACTCTTTCCTGTGTCCCAAACCTTGTCCCCTGCTGTCTGGTTGGCAGTGAGAAAGTGAGTCTTGTACACAGGAAGAGGCAAACATGGCAGATGGAGAGAGTGTCCTGGAGCTGAGACTGGATTCCATTTCTTTCTTTCTTTCTTTTTTTAATTTATTTGGTTGTGCTGGGTCTTAGTTGCTGCAGGCAAGCTCCTTAGTTGCAGGTCACGGGCTCCTTAGTTGTGGCATGCGAACTCTTAGTTGGTGGCATGCATGTGGGATCTAGTTCCCTGACCAGGGATCGAACCCAGGCCCCCTGCATTGGGAGCATGGAATCTTAACCACTGCACCACCAGGGAAGTCCCAGGATTCCATATCTTAAGATCTGGCCACACTGTGGTCCTTCCCAAATCTTGAATTTCAACTCTCCTCTGGATTCCATGGGCCAACAAATCCTCCCCATGCTTTTCCCATTTTGAGATGGATTTCTGTCACTTGCTACTGAACAGCTCCTAACACATACATAATGTATCATGGATGTAATTACATGTCAGTTTGCCCAACATCATTTGTAATGAGGCAGGATATTACCTGAATTTCTACTTTTAATGAGTCTCCTGTTGTTGGATATCTAGATTATTTTCATTTTTTCGCTGTGATAAGCAATGCTACGTAAATATCCTCATAAATTCATCTTGCTTCCATGCATTATTTTATCTAAATGAATTCCTCGAGGTGGAATCGCTATAACAAGAGGTATTCATATTTTTTAAGGCTTTGTGACACAACTTTTGACCCTCTTGATGCTTTGTGACCACTGCCTCTTCTAGCGACACTGTTCACACTGTCGTTGGACACCTTTATGGGATTACATTATTTTGGACTGAGTTGGTCCCTGTGAGTTTGCCCTTCATTGCTCATTGTGGGGCTGGGGTTGGGGAGTGCCCAAGCTTTGACTCCAATCTGCCTATAAACCATGTCCAAGTATTCTGTTGAAAAAATAGGTATGGGGTCAGTCAAGGCCCGGAGCATTTTCAGAGGATTTTGTAAAGACTAGTCCCTGAGGGTACAGTGGACACCTGGGGTGTGGACAAAAGAATGTCCAGCTTCAAGCTCATTGGTTGGGTTCTGAGGGTTTATTCCAGAAGGAAAGGGAAGGACATGGCTGGCATCGAACACCACGACGCAGGGCACAGTCCTCAGTCTGGAGGTCGTGGGACAGCAACAGTCCCTGCGCTGAGTACTGGGCTCAAGAGCCAGGTTACAGGGGATAAGGCCAGGCCTAGTGGTCTGTGCTGAGAACTCTTCTCTGAGGGCAATGGGAGCTTTGGAGGGAACAGCAGGGGAAAGATGCAATCCATTTTCCTCAGGGGGAAGCAGGGACAGATTGAATCAAAAAGTAACAGAGTGTGTTTCTGCCACTTACGGCCTGTCCCAGGGGCCCAGGCTGGTGGGAACCTTCTCTGCCCATCACACTTGGATCTCAGACCTCTGAGCTCGCCCCCCTGCAGTGAGAGCCAGGGCCTCACCCAGCCTTCTCGTCCTGGCTGATGCCCTTGTGTGTCAGCCCAGGCTCCTATCCCAGAGCCTCCTCTTTGAGTGGGTAAATATAGCACGCTCACAGAACAGCATACACGTGAACACATCTCCACTTCCTACATAAAGAAACAACATTCCCCTCACCCCACCCCCACCTCGCCTCCCATACAAACGAGAATCTTTGTCATGAAATTAAATGAAATGAGGTAACGGAAATGAAAGTGCTTTGTAAAAGGAAAAAGGGCTAGAATGGGGGCTTTCAGCGTTTTTGCTTTTGTTTTTTTCTTTCAAGCAGAAGTCTTTTTCAAATAAAATCCTACTGTACATCCATTTATCCATCTGCTCCCATGATGTGGCCTTTGGGAAACATCTCACATTTCACATGCCCAAAACTAAGGCCTTGGATTCCACCACCGTCTTGCTCATGATTTTTTTTTTTTTTTGCCACGTGGCTTGTGGGATCTTACTTCCCTAACCAGGGATTGAATGCACCCGGGGCCTCGGCAGTGAAAGCACCAAGTCCTAACCACTGAACTTCCAGGGAACTCCATCTACCATCCTCTTCAAATCTGCTCCTCCCGTACCTTCTCATCTTAGTTCTGATACCTCTCCTCACACGTGTGCTCATGCTGGAAGCTGGGTGGGGGCAAACCTGATGCCCCCTCCTCCCCACCTCCACACTCACAAGCTGTCAGTGCCCCCACCGTCGCCTGTCCTGTGGGCGATTCTCCAACGTGTCTCTCCAACCCATTGTGAGCTTCTCATCACCGCCACCACCACTCTGGGCCAACCACCACTTGCCTGGATTGTGTCACAGCCCTACCTCGTCTCCCTCAGACTGCACCTGCCGACTTTCCAGTTCAGTGCTCACAAACTGGCTGAGGGGAACATACCTAGAGAATCATGCACAAATCATATCAGTTAAGCTTGATGAGTTTGTCTAAACTGCACACACCTGTGTAACCAACACCCATGTCAAGAAGCAGAATATCGGGCGCAATGGTTGAGAGTCCGCCTGCCGATGCAGGGGACGCGGGTTCGTGCCCTGGTCCGGAAGGATCCCACATGCCACGGAGCGGCTGGGCCCGTGAGCCATGGCCACTGAGCCTGCGCGTCCGGAGCCTGTGCTCCACAACGGGAAGAGGCCACAACAGTGAGAGGCCCGTGTACCGCAAAAAAAAAAAAAAGCAGCAGAATATCACCAGCATCCCAGAAGTCCCTATAGGCCCCCTCCTAGTCATCCCCACTACTCCCCCAGGACAACTACCATCCTTATTTCTAATGCCATAGATTAGTTTTGCCCCTTTTTGAACTTTATATACAAGAATTAATACAATGTGTATTATTTTACACCATTGTGTTTGAGAGATCCATCCACATTGTTCTGTATAGTTACAATTTGTTCACCTTCATTGCTGTATAGTATTCCATTGTCTGAATATATCATTATTTATTCAGTCAAGCACTGAGAGACATCGGAGCGGCTTATGGTTTGGGGCCTTCACAAAGAGAAGTTGTCAGGATTTTTGTGTTTGGCCCATGTAAATATGTATTTGTGTTGGGTATCTACCTAGGCGTAGAACTGCTTCATCATAGGGTATGTGTATGTTCACAGAGTGATATCTTCAAAGCACAAGCAGTTTGAAGCATTCCCTCGCTTAAACCCTCCATGACTTCCCATTGGCTTTAGAATAAAGTCCCGACTTTTTATCTTAATTTACACGGGACTTGCGTGTTCTGGCCCCCCCGACCTCTCCCTCCCCGCCACAAACCCTGCTCTTGCACAGGCTGCTTTCCCACCAGACTGACCTTCTATTCCATTCTTGGGGCCTGCCAAGCTTTTTCCTCTGCCAAGCAGCCCACCCGCTTGATGTGCTGCAGTTTCCAGCCGGCCAGTTCTTACTCATTCTTTATGTTGCTGCTCAGATAGAATATTTTCAGAGAGGCCTCTCCTGATCCCCTATTATAAAAGAGGAAACACCGTTACTGTCTCTCATTGCCCAGCTCAAAATTGCGCTGAACTGAATGTGAAATTGTCTCATCGTTAATGACTGCCTCTCCCAGTAGACTGTAAGCAACAAGGGCCTGGGACTGTCATGTTCACTGCTGGATCCCCAACACCTTGCACCGGGCAGGAACATAGTAGGTGCTCAATAAATAGCAATACTCTAATCTGCGGAGTACATAAGAGGACGATCGAGGCCTCCAAGTCCCCCAGGGACCAGGGTGCAAATCTTGGCTCCATTACTCACTACTCTTGTGCCGTTAGGCAAGTTACCTAAGTTCCCTGGACCTCAGTTTCCTCCTCTGTAAAACAGGGATAATCCTGTGGCCTGAGAATGTATGTGCGTACATCACAGTGTTGGCCACGTGGTTAGTGCTAATTAAGCAGCGGCTTTCTGTGCACCAGCTCTTGGAAGCCTCACCACAATCCCACAGGCAGGAACTATTCTAAATCCCCATCTCATAGATGAGGAAATTAAGAAACTAAGGCCCAGGGAGGTTAAATACTTTGTCCAATAATTCTGGCTCCAGGTCCTAGGCCCTCCTCCATGACAGTGTTGCTGGTAACATGTGAAAGATAATAAAGACAGAGGAAGGGGCAGTGGTGAGCTCCAAATAGCCAACCGCACTCACTCCCACCCCTTTTACATGCATTCATCCCCATGAAACCCAAAGGTTAGCAGTGCAGCATGAAAACCACTGGGTTACACAAACATCCGTGGTTATTAATAGTTATGGAGGAAAAGATAGAAAGATCTGATTACAGAAAAGTTTCAAACTTCTATATGACAAAAGACATCACAAGTGAGGTCTAAAGATAAATGAGAGTGTGGGAGGAAATATTTAAACTTCAAATAACAAAGGCTTACTCTGCCTGGGATGAACACGCTCCTCCAAATAAACTGGAAAAATACAAACGACCCATTGGAAAAAATAGGCAAAGAATGTGAACAGAAGAGGAAATGACAATGGGTAGCAATCAATGTGTAAGCAGGGAAATGAAAATTAAATAATGAGCTCCTGCATCTCTCCTAATCTTGGCAAAAATGAAAAACATTGGTAACATGCATGGCTGATGAAGGCATAAGAAAACCAATACTAAAATACCCACATTGAGCTGTAAAAAGAATTAGAGCCTTTTAGGAAACATTTTCTAAAATATTATGACAAAAATAATGTGTGACAACTTTCAGAAATTATAGCAATAATAGATGGTGATATAAATAGATAGGTAGATAGACAGACAGATACAAGAACAGTCATTGCAACATTTTTGTAACAACACAACCTAGAAACACCTTGATTGTATCAATACAGTTGTATATTACATAGCTATTAAATGAGGTAGATCCATACTGTGCCAACTTAAAATTATCTGTAAAACGCACGAAGTAAAAAAGAATGTCAAGGAGTAATGTCTATGGTTTGGTCCTATTTTCACAGAAAACAAAAATAAGCATAACCAAATCACCTTGAACACTTCTTTAAGCAGAGAAAAAAACAGGAAAAACAAATTTCTAATTACAGTGTGTCAAAGGAGTCAGACTAGAGGGTGTTTTGCTTAAGATACATTTTTAAGTTTGAATTGTTGCAATGAGTATATATTTTATTAAAAATTAATTAATAAGCCCTGCTCATTAATAATGACTTAATACATGTTGCCTGCCTATCTACTCTTGTAAAACCCTTCCTGATTTAAGACTTACTTTGCTTCAGTTCCTACAAATAAGCTGCTGGTTGGAGAGAAGGTGTTAATTGTCTTCTGAACAACTTCCTCTGATTAACCTCTTGGCTTGCTCTGCTGCCCAGCCTTTCAGAGAAGAGAAACCTGATATTATTATTCTAAAAAGAAATATATGTTCTGAACATGCAGTACGTGCACGTAGTAGCAAATTCAAAATGAACAAAAGAGGGACTTCCCTGGTGGTGCAGTGGCTAAGAATCCGCCTGCCAATGCAAGGGTCATGGGTTCGATCTCTGGTCCGGGAAGATCCCATGTACTGCAGAGCAACTAAGCCCGTGCACCACTACTATTGCACTCTGGAGCCCGCGAGCCACAACTACTGACCCTGCACGCCGCAACTACTAATGCGTGTGCTCCACAACAAGAGAAGCCACCACAATGTGAAGCCCATGCACTGCAACGAAGAGTAGCCCCTGCTCGCTGCAACTAGAGAAAGCCCACGCACAGAAACGAAGACCCAACGCAGCCAAAAATAAATAAATAAATTTAAAAACAAACAAAAAACAACAACAAAAAAACCCCCAAAATGAACAAAAGAGTATATAGTGAAAAGTAAGTCTCTCTCTCCCTAGTACCTCAGCCACCCAGTTCTATACCATTTTCTTGTGTATCCTCTCAGAGAGATTCTATGCATATACTAGCATATGCATGTATATAGTCTAATTTTTTAGAACACAAATGCTGTACATAATGTCTGTATACACGAATACATTCATAAGGGAGACACCTTTTGATTTCTTCTAGCCAGAACCTGATTAGTTCCAAGGTTGCACTTCTTTCCTGCTTGAGAAGCCGAATTTCCCCAGCAGTAGCAGTTTATCCATCCATCCATCCATGCATCAGTCTATCTGGCCATCCATCCATTCATCCAATAACACTTGCTAACAAGCATTTGGTGAGCACTAACTCTGTGCCAGGTACTAGCTAGAAGCTGGAGATAAGGTGGTGAAAAGATAAGGTCCTTGTTCTCACCCAGCTGGCCTTCTGGGGAAGTAACAAATTATGTAGAAGAAAACAAATAATAGAAGAAAACTAACACATTTCAGACAATGGGATGTGCCTTGGAGAGACTCATTCTCTGTTAAGAGAGTGGGGAAGGAGGAGAGGTGAAAAGGAGAAGGGAGGAGGAGAGAGGGCCTATTTTAGATGGATGGCCAGGGAAGATCTCCTTCAGGTGGTGACATTTAAGCCAAGAACTGAATGACAAGAAGGAGCAAATGTTACTGGTTTCCTTGCTCTGATGACTTTCCAATGAGAGAGTCCACGGGCAGAGTTTCAACCTGATCAGAGCGGTGAAGAGGGTGGGCTCTGAAGACCTGGAGATGTTCATTTGAACCCCAGCTCTGCCGCCGAAAGCCAGGGGAGACTTGGGCAAATTATTTAACCTCTCTGTGCCTCAGCTTCCTCACCTGTAATATGAGGTTATATAAAAATAGTACCAACTTAATAGGATCACAGTGAAAATTAAGTGGGTTAAGCAATGTGGGCTGCCCAGGCTGGCACCAAGAAAGTGATCAAAAAATGATCAAGTTTTAAAAAAGTATAATGTTAGGCAGAGTTTCTTAGATGAAAAGTCAAAAGTATGATCTATAAAAAAGTAATAAAAGCTTTTATCAAAATTAGAAATGTTTGCTCTGTGAAAGACTCTGTTAAGAGGATGAACAGACAAGTTACAATCTGGGAGAAAATATTTGCAAATCTCATATTGGACAAAAGGCTTATATCCAGAATATACAAAGAACTCTCAAAACTCAGTAAGAAAACAAACAACCTGATTAAGAAATGGGCCAAAGACTTGACCAGATACTTCACCAAAGAGGATACATTATGGCAAATAAGCACATAAAAAGATATTCAACAGCATTAGCCATTACGAAAATGCAAAATAAAACCATGATGAGATACCACTACACACCTGTTAGAATGGCTTAAAAAGAATCTGACAACACCATGTGCTGACAAGATACAGAGAACCTGCAACCCTCATGCGTTGCTGGTGGGAGTGCAAAGTGGTACAGCCACTCTGGAAAAACGTTTGGCAGGTTTTTATAAAGTTAAGCCTACGCCTAACATATGTGCAGCAATCCCATTCCTAGGTGATTACCCTAGATAAATGAAAACTTACGTTCACATAAAGATCTATGCACAAACAGCAGCTCTATTCGTAATCATCAAAAACTAGAAGCAACCCAAATGCCCTTTAAGGGATGAACAGATAAACATACTGTGCCAAGTCCATACTACCCAAAAGCTACTCAGCCAAAAAAAAAAAAAAGGTACGAACTCCCGCTATATGCAGCAGCTGAATGAACGGGAAAGAAGCCAGTCTCAAAGGGTTATGTACTACGTGATCCCTTTTGTATGACTTTCTTGAAAAGACAAAGCTAGAGCAATGGAGAGCAGATCAGTGGTTATCGGGGTAGGTTTGGGGAAGGGTGTGACTGCAGAGGGGCAACCCCAGGTGGTTTCTGGGCTGATGGAACTGATCTGTATCCTGACTGTGGTGGTGGTTACACAAATCCACATGTACATCAAAATTCATACATAGATACACCAAAGAGTCATTTTCATTGCATGTTAATTTTTAAAAACAAGAAAAATAAAAAGTGATGAATGATCCTGTCATTCTAACTCAGCCACTCACTTCCAATCCCTCCTGCCTCCTTTCTCCTCATTCTCTACAGCCAGAAACTTCTTAAAGAAGAGATACTTCCACTCCCTAAATATCTGAAGACATTCTTAGTAACTTGGCTTTGTTGCTCTGCATACAAAGGTAATACATTTTTCTTGGACGAAAAGAAGGAAGGAAGGGAGAGAGGGAGGGAGGAAGGAAGAATTCAATCTACAGAAATGCGTAAGGTAGAAAGCAAAAGCCCTCAGGAATCCCACCCTCCAGAATTAACGGCTGGGAGAAGCTTCCACCAGAACCCATTCAAAGCGATGTTATACAGTTGCTTCCTCACAAGGTTCAGAACCCATATAGTGGGATTTCATCTGATTGATTGTTCAGGGAAGCATGAAGGGCCCTGGGGTGCATGACCTTGAAAGGTTAACATCTGGATGCCAGCCCGGCTTCATATCAAGTCAAAGCATTTCACAGCTGGATGGAGTCTTAGGGTGATCTAGTTCATTAAAGGTCATCCAGTCCCTTCCTGTCCCTCTCCACCCACATCCCCACAAGACTCCCTATCTCAAGGCAGCCTCTTGCCCACACCCGAGCTCTCCCTCTGTGCGCTGGCTGCCTCTTCCCTCTCAGCCAGCTCCGTTTGCAATCACTGTTTGGATCATTCAGTTAACGTTCAGCAAATCATTCATTATCTGTTCCTTCCTTCCTTCGTTCAGAGATACTTACTGAGCACCTCTTTTGTGCCGGGCCCTGTGCTGAGTCGTTGGAATACCTTGGTGAACAAGATCCACATGGTTCCGGCCCTACTGGAGCCTCCATTCCAGTCAGAGAGACAGTGCCTAACCACAAAACGATTCTAACACGTATCTCAATAAGAACTGTGCTGGGTTTCCCTGGTGGCGCAGTGGTTGACAGTCCACCTGCCGATGCAGGGGACATGGGTTCGTGCCCCGGTCCGGGAAGATCCCACATGCCGCAGAGCGGCTGGGCCCCTGAGCCATGGCCGCTGAGCCTGCGCGTCTGGAGCCTGTGCTCCGCAACGAGAGAGGCCACAACAGTGAAAGGCCCGCGTACCGCAAAAAAAAAAAAAAAAAGAAGAAGAAGAAGTGTGCTAACACCTGGAAAATGCAAGTACATGGCATGGCGATAACAATCCTGGCCAGGCCAGGCTTCCCTGAGGAAAGGGGGGCGGTTAAGCTGAGACCTGCAGGAAGAGCAGCAGTTGGCCAGGTTTAGAGCAGAGGGGAGGAGACTCAAGGCTGAGGGAACTGCACGCGCAATCCCGAGAAGTCAGGGTGGCTCCCACGCACTGCGGGGACCAGCAGGTGCTGAGGTCACAGCGGTAGACAGGGCATAATGATAGCTCTCTGGGGAAATGTTTTGGAGACTTTTGCCACTGACTCTGGGGGCTCCCTTGCCCTTTCCCTTAAAAGGGAAACAGAATGTCCCCTGTAGGGCTCAGGGTATGGGGTCTAGAATCAGACCTAGGCTCTGTTCCGGCTTTGTATATACAAAGAGGCAACAGCTTACTGTCTGTGTGCCTCATGCTTTTCCACCTGTAAAATAGGTATGACGCTGTGACTTGGGAGGATTTAATTAGATAACCCACAGAAGGTCATATCAAGTCATGATCACAGTGCTTGGGACTTCAGCAGTGCTCGGTTCGTGGTGGTTAATGCCGTTGTTATTCCTATTATCAGAGGCACCATGACCCTGGAGGCGCAGTCTCTATATAGTCAAATATGGAGTTAACACAGAGCCGGGGAGGGGCCCCCAGCCTCTGGATTCCTGTAGAACCAAAGTCCAAGGTATGACCCCTTTGGAATGACATTTGTGAATCCATCAAGTATGTTTTGGGAGTGGACTCGCATTTGTCAGTGACACAGGCTAGAGAGCAGAGGGCAGCTAAGACCCAGAAAGGTTCCTTAGATGACAAATGCACGCAGTCAGTGGACATCAGCCCACCCCCATCTCCTCCTCCTGCCCTGAAGGCTGGACTCCCATCCAAAGGATTCCAACAATGCTGTCGGTAACGAGAGCCCCAAGATGTCCTCTCTGAGCTGAGGGGTCACGAGTTCTGCCTTCCCAGAAAAGCACATTTGCTCCAGCAGTAGCACGCCTTTGGGCTGATAGAGACTCGCGGGGTCCAGCTATGGGTAAGAATATTGCAAGGGGCTGAAGCTATTTTTTGCCACATGTTCTATCTCTCCAGCAGGCAGAGTGACAGTGCTTGGGATCCAGATATTCTCAGCCGTAGAAGGTCATGGAGCTGAAGGCTGAAAATCCTGGCTCTCAAATAGCTAGACTGGGGGTGGGGGATTATTTGCATCACCGGTTGGGGGTCCTAAGACCTTGAGCTGTCATCCCTTCCATCCCCTGGCCCAGCACCGACCACTACCCACAGGACTTCTGTTGAACCGATTCCCCTGGGCCCAGAGTCTGGTGGCAACTGTTTATTTTTAGCCTCTGATTCTCTGAGAATGTGGGTGGGCCCCTTGGAGCAGGGGGAGGGAGGAAGGAGGAGGAAGTAGTTCAGGGCCTGGAGGGCCACGGAGGACACAGCCCAGTCCAAGCCCTTAGCTCAGCTCTGTGACCTACAGTCCTCTCCCTTCTTGGCCCACCCCAGGTCAGGATTAGGTTGGACTCATGTCCCTGTGTTCCCCTTTCCCTCTGCCCTGAAGGCCCTAGAGACTGTGTGCTTTCCGTTCCTCTTTATAGCCACCCCCCTGCCGCGTGCCCTTGGTCCTTTGATGCTCTCATACTCAACCACAGTGGGTGTGGAACAGGACTCCTCCATATCCCTCCCTTCCTCCTGCCTCTGAAGAGACGTCCCAGGTCCATCTCCTTGGGCCTGCCAGAGTAGGTGCTTAATAAATACGGGTAGGGGCTTCCCTGGTGGCGCAGTGGTTGAGAGTCCGCCTGCCGATGCAGGGGACGTGGGTTCATGCCCCGGTCCGGGAGGATCCCACATGCCGCGGAGCGGCTGGGCCCGTGAGCCATGGCCACTGGGCCTGTGCGTCCGGAGCCTGTGCTCCTTAGCGGGAGAGGCCACAACAGTGAGAGGCCCGCGTACCGCAAAAAAATAAATAAAAAAATACGGGTAGGCTGAAAGACTTCAAGGCTCTTCCATAATGGCAAAGGCCTGAATAATGGAAGAGCCAATAAGGGGAATTTTAGAAACTTACAAATAGGAAGTTTAGGAACTTACAAATAGGGGTTAAATAGGGGTTTAGAAACTTACAAAACCCTGAAGTCATTGTCTCTGGTTGCTAGTTCCTTTCTCCTTTCTGAGAAGTTCCCTGGAGCCCCTAGGCCCCGTCTTTGTCTCTGTAATCTAGAAGGAAATGCATCTGCCCCTTCTTCCTCTTCAGGTCTAACTTCAGCCTTCCCTGACAAAAGGGGAACTGTCTGATGAGCTGGCCTCAATCCCCGCACAAACTTACCCTGTAACCCGGGGCAAGACACCCTGCCCACTGCAGGACATTGTAAAGCACTCCTGTGGGATTGTTGTGAGGACTAGCGAGAGTGTGTGTAAAACGGCTGGCATGTAGTTGGTGCTTAGTAAATGCTTGTTGCTGTTCTATTATCATTAAATAAATGGTACAGTAAACCAAGCCTTCTTTTTTAACATCTGCTTCTTTCACGCTATACCTGATCATTCTTCACATTTTATAGAGTGCTTTAATATTTTATAAGGCACTTTCACATACATTAGCTCATCTGAGCCCCACACAACCCCTTGAAAAGGGCCAAGTCATTATTCCATGATTATTATTCCCATTATACAGATAAAGCCATTCATGTTCCAGAAAAATGTAGATGGGTCTCACTCACCATTGTGTCTTCAGCGTCTGACGCAGGGCCTCGCACAGAGTGGGTGATCTAAACAAAACAAAGCAAAGCAAAATCCTTTTGAAGGAATGGCCTATAGGATGTAACCCTATATGCCATTTACCCTTTCCTCACCTGTAAAATGGGAATCAATGCTATAGGATACACACAGGAAATTCAAATTCTAGGATTCAGCTCCATAGCAAGCCTTGGTCTTTTTAACAGACAGAAGGCAGTGAGGTATGTGTAGCAAGCCCTTTCTGCTTCTCCTAGAGGCGAGACCCATTTTTTTAGTTTCAGGAGAATAATTGGGAAGTGCCTCAAACAGGCATATGGTTATAGCTCATTCCTGGGAGAGGGTCAGACCAGATTCCCAATGTCCTTACATCCTGGGACTTTGGTTTCTCCTGGTTTCTCCAGCTGGAAGCTGAATTTTAGAAAGGAGATGGGCCTATGTGCATGCAGTCATGGGAAGCAAATCCCAGGGGCAGTGGGAAGGGTTCTGGAGTAGAAATTAAAATGTCCTCTAAGATTAACACCATGGGGAAAAGATGCTGCCGCATTTGGAAGAGATGGGGTGAGGTGGATGAAAACATAAGAGAAAATTTACATATGTGCAATCCCCTTTCAGGTCAAAAATCATTTTACTAATTTCGGGACATAAAATGTATTATATGTAAGTTGATTTTTACTGCAAATGATCACCATCAGTAAATTACATTTCAAAGTATAATCTTTGTTGTCAGGCAATAATTATAAATCTATGGCTTACTTTTAATTTATTGAATTTCAAAAGAAATAAATGGAGCTATAGATGTTAAGTTTTAGGGAGTCTCTTCAGTTTGCGCATTGAGGAGAAGCAGAAGTCACCCACACTTGACTTCAAGAAAGCCTCTAATGTGTGGGAGCTTAGGGTTTATAAGGAGAGACCACACAACTTTAAGAAAGTTACCAAGACTGTGTAGGAGGGAAAAACTCAACTTACTGATGACAACACATGTCTCTTGGAACTGAACTCACCACTGTGTGTACATTTTCTTTTCTAGTGACGGTAAATCACATGTTTTCCCTCAGACTACTTTACAATGCTTTTAGATTCTTGGAATCTAAAATAAAGCCGAGGGCTTCCCTGGTGGCGCAGTGGTTAAGAATCTGCCTGCCAGCGCAGGGGACGTGGGTTCGAGCCCTGGTCCGGGAAGATCCCACATGCCGCAGAGCAGCTAAGCCCGTGCGCCACAACTACTGAGCCTGCGCTCTAGAGCCTGTGTGCCACAACTGCTGAGCCTGTGCTCTAGAGCCCGCGAGCCACAGCTACTGATCCCACACACCACAACTACTGAAGCCTGCGCGCCTAGAGCCCATGCTCCACAACAAGAGAAGTCACCGCAGTAAGAAGCCCGTCGACAAAACTAGAGAAAGCCCGCGCACAGCAACGAAGACCCAACGCAGCCAAAAATAAATAAATAAATAAAAATTTAAAAAATAATAATAAATAAAATAAAGCCGATGTTTATTAAGCATCTACTATGTGGTAGACATTTTTGTGAGGACTTTCCATGCATTCATTCATTTAATCCTTATCACAGCCCCATGACAGAGGTACTATTATTATTCCCATTTTACAGATGTGAAAAAAAGTTCAAGGAGGCAAAGTGATTGCCTAAGTTCCCATGGCTACCAAATAGCAGAACCAAGATTTGAACCCAGGTTGACAGCAAAGTGGCAAATGGTTCAGCATGAAAATTCGGTCCCTCTTCATTTTTTTTTTTTTAAGATTTTTTTTTGATGTGGACCACTTTTAAAGTCTTTATCGAATTTGTTACAATATTGCTTCTGTTTTATGTTTTGGTCTTTTGGCTGGGAGGCATGTGGGATCTTAGCTCCCCGACCAGGGATCAAACCCACACCCCCTGCATTGGAAGGAGAGGTCTTAACCACTGGACCACCAGGGAAGTCCCAGCCGTCTTCATTTAATCAAGTTACCTCCTCAGAGTGAACTGAGGCAAACTACCCACCTCTAGCCTCATCATCCCATGGAACCACGTGGAACACTTTTCTCCCCAGATCCTGCCCCAACAGGAACACATTCGTGACTTAGGAGCTGCTGAAAACACACCAATGCTCTTTCAATATTGCTTTAGTTTTTTGAACTCAGAGCAATTTTTAACTCTTTAAACCTTCATCTTAAAAGGTTTCTTTCCTTAATCCCTTTTATAGATGATGAGGTCACAAGGGCGAGAAAAAGCTGATTTCTAATTCTCTCCCAGCTCCCTATCTCTGTCATGCTCTCACTAATTTGTCTGGAACCTTGTGAGCAAGGAGAGAGTAGGATCACATTTCTGGCCCTTCCCATTCCCTTGTTCCTTTAAACCTTACTCATGGAGCCCCAGACCCTATCGAAGGCGTTAGGAACTCGGGGAAGAACGTGGAGGGCTCTGCTCTCAGTCGGTGAAACTTCTAGTGGGTAACGACTGACAGTAAACAAGGCACAAAGAGAGAGACTGAAATACAGTGACTGTATCTGTGCTCTGAAGGAAATCCCGTTTTTTAGTCTGGCAACATCAGTGCCCAGTCGAACTCATGGCCCCCATCAGGGCCTGGGGAGTGCGCAGGAGCACGCCCACCACTGAAACTGAAAGTTTATAAGAGGAAGTCCCAAGCGAGGGGGCATGGAGATCCCTATCTTGCAACAACGACAATTTCTGGGTCCCAGAGGGGCCGTTTCCCCTTGTTGACCTACGTTCGGGTCACCCTGCCCTCGGTGCCCAGGAACTGCACTGGGACCACACCAGCCACAGCTTTGCCTTCAAAACCTCCCTGTGGCTTCAGTTTTAGGCATCCCTTCAGGAGAACAAAGTCTACCTGGTAGTGTTTGGACAACTTATCTTAAGTGTTTTATTTGGGGGAGATTTGTTTTTCAGGTTTAATGCCTTTGAGGAGCCAAAAAGTCCTGGAATAAAATGACACTGATCACACCCCACACCTCTAACTCCTATCTTCACAGAAGAGACCCAGTGGGAGGATCAGGGCGGAGATTGCCACCTTTTTCTTTTTTTAAAAAATTAATTAATTTATTTTTGGCTGCATTGGGTCTTTGTTGCTGCGTGCGGGCTTTCTCTGGTTGCGACAAGCGGGGGCTCTTCATTGCGGTGCGCGGGCTTCTCATTGCAGTGGCTTCTCTTGTTGCAGTGCACGGGCTCTAGGTGCATGGGCTTCAGTAGTTGTGGCATGCAGGCTCAGAAGTTGTGGCTCACGGGCTCTAGAGCACAGGCTCAGTAGTTGTGGCGCACGGGCTTAGCTACTCCGCAGCATGTGGGATCTTCCCGGACCAGGGCTCTACCCCGTGTCCCTTGCATTGGCAGGCGGGTTCTTAACCACTGCGCCACCAGGGAAGCCCCTGCCACCTTTGTCTGAGCCTGACACAAGGACTGTCCCAAGAGCCATCCCTCACCGGCCAGCACCACAGAGTCCTGGAACACTTTTCCTCTCTGTGATGTCAACCAGTCCACACGACAACTGGGAGAAGGAAGACAGAGGTTCTCATCCCCACTTTCAGGAGCAGAGCAGGTCATTTGCTGAATGGTACTTACACATGATTTCATGATTCTAAACCCAGTGCTCTTTTTACCATCACAGTGTCTCCCAACCTCTGTCACTCAAGTCCTCCCTCTGACTTTTGCCAAATCCCTGTAACAGTTGTACCATGATTAATACATTTTTTTCAAAGCTGCCTGCTTTTTCCTCTTAGCTTAAATGCCTTTGTTTAAAAACAAAACGTGCTATCACTGCTCTAATTGGAAACCTGGTTTCATTTACTGTAAATGGAAGGCAGCCACAGATATAAATGCAAGGAAACGTAGCAAATCCCAGCTAGACACTGAGGCCTCCTGATGGCTCTGAGCCTGAAGCCTGATCTCTCTCTGTAAAAAAAAAAAAGGAAGGGTAGCAAGTGTCAGAGGTGTTAAAGACAGGCTAGCTCCCAACTGAGGCTTTCTCCTGGAAGGACTGAGGGAGAATTGAGAAAGTGTTGAACTTTGTCGCTATGTGAGCAAACGAATGCTCGGCTGTACCTATCTTGGACACCGTCCAACAGGAGCACTTGTCTTGCCCCTGGGAAAACCTGCGGTGCTGCACCCTTTCTTGGAGAAGAGAGGCCGCTCCCTCGCCGTGGCACCTCTCAGGTTGGTTCCCCCAAGCACCACTCCCGAAGCCGTCCTCTCCTGTCTTGGAGGCCGTCCTTTGCAAGTTCTCTTATCTCTGCCTCCCCACTGTGAGGTTGCCCAGGCTCCATCCCTGCCCACTCGTGTCCCAGCACAAGGTCTCTTCTCCCACCCAGGCCCTCTCCTGGACCAGGGGGCAGAGCTTGGCTGGATTGCTGCAACCCCTTTTGAAATACTCCCTCTGCTTCCCATTCCTCCTCCTTCAATCTGCCCGCCACACCCAGCACAGGTGACTTTCTAAAGCCCAGATTGGTCATGCTGCTTCCCTGATAAAAACCACTTGGTGATGGCCATTCTGACTGGTGTGAGATGATATCTCATTGTAGTTTTGATTTGCATTTCTCTAATGATTAATGATGTTGAGCATTCTTTCATGTGTTTGTTGGCAGTCTGTATATCTTCTTTGGAGAAATGTCTATTTAGGTCTTCTGCCCATTTTTGGATTGGGTTGTTTGTTTTTTTGTTATTGAGCTGCATGAGCTGCTTATACATTTTGGAGATTAATCCTATAATTCAAAAAGAGTCATGTACCAAAATGTTCATTGCAGCTCTATTTACAATAGCCTGGAGATGGAAACAACCTAAGTGTCCATCATCGGATGAATGGATAAAGAAGATGTGGCACATATATACAATGGAATATTACTCAGCCATAGAAAGAAACGAAATTGAGCTATTTGTAATGAGGTGGATGGACCTAGAGTCTGTCATACAGAGTGAAGTAAGTCAGAAAGAGAAAGACAAATACCGTATGCTAACACATATATATGGAATTTAAGAAAAAAAATGTCATGAAGAACCTAGGTGTAAGACAGGAATAAAGACACAGACCTACTAGAGAATGGACTTGAGGATATGGGGAGGGGGAAGGGTAAGCTGTGACAAAGCGAGAGAGAGGCATGGACATATATACACTACCAAACGTAAGGTAGATAGCTAGTGGGAAGCAGCCGCATAGCACAGGGAGATCAGCTCGGTGCTTTGTGACCGCCTGGAGGGGTGGGATAGGGAGGGTGGGAGGGAGGGAGATGCAAGAGGGAAGAGATATGGGAACATATGTATATGTATAAATGATTCACTTTGTTATAAAGCAGAAACTAACACACCATCGTAAAGCGATTATACTCCAATAAAGATGTTAAAAAAAAAACCAAAAACACCCACTTGGTGTCTCCCACCGCCCTCAGGATCACGTCCTTCCTCCCTCCCTTGTGGGCCTACGAGGCCCTGCCTGCCCTGTCCTGCCCACACGAGTCCCCAGCCTCACTCCTCCCCACTTCCCTCCCCAAGCTCTATGATCTTGCCATGTTGGACTTCTTCACTTCCTTACCAGTCTCTTCCTTGACTTGGGAATTTCATAAACAACGTTCCCTCTGCTTGAAGGGAACGCTTTTGCCTTCACTCACACATTCCGCCGGTCTCAGCTTCAACATCACTCTCTCCCAGCAGCCGCTCCTGGTCTCCCTCCAGGCAGACCCCCTCCCCTTTGATGACCCCGTGTTTCTCCCGTGGCTCACGCTCTATTGGAATCACCTGTGTCTGTTCGCGGCTCTAGCCCAGAGCCTAGCAGAGGGCCTGAACTGTATGGAGCCACAGAAATGCTTGTTAATTGAATGGAGGGTTATTATTAATTCCCTGCACCTATCAGTCCCCAATCCCAGTTTCTACGTGCCCTGCCCTTTGTCTTCATTTAACTAAATTCTCCCTCTCCCAGCCTTGATAGTCCAGGTCAATTCCCACCTCTCCCATGAAGCCACCCCTGATTGCTCTAGCCCAGAGAGAATTCACCCTCTCCCAGCCTTGATAGTCCAGGTCAATTCCCACCTCTCCCATGAAGCCACCCCTGATTGCTCTAGCCCAGACAGAATTCACCTTCTGTAGAACCCCTAGAGCATCTCTTTCTTTGCTGAATGAATGAATGGGACATATTCTATTTTTATTTGGCCGCTCCTCGTGGCTTGTGGGATCCTAGTTCCCCAACCAGGGATAGAACCCTGTCCCTCGGCAGTGAAAGCATGAAGTCCTAACCACTGGACCATCAGGGAAGTCCCTAGGACATATTCTAAATGGAGCAGAGTGAGAAAACGATGTCATTTAAAACTCAAACTCATGGTAATGACCTCTGTTTTTTAAGAGGGAAGGCATAATTCCTATCCGTGGAAAAGTAAATCTCTAAATGACTTCCTTGGAGAGGCTGGTGGGAAAAAGAGAGACAACAGGCTAAAATCACAAGACTTTTGTGGTTTTTCTTTGAAGTAAATGTGAGACCCTAAGAAGTCCTCTTTCAAAAAGTGACGTGTTTTTTTGGAAATAGATAACATTTTGCACATAGTACAAAATTCAAAAGGCAGACAGCCTTCCCTTAGCACACCACATTAATGAATTTGAATGTGCAGGGAGATAGGTGTAAGTGGAGTAGAGAATCCATTGTTCCTAATGTTACAGTGGGGAAAACTGCATTACTAGGGGAGTCCCCATGGGGGGAAAAGTGGACTCTAAGGGCGAGGGACCAAGCACGCAGATATTGTTCCAGGGTCTGTGCAGGTGGATGGCCGGGGAAGAGGTCTCCGGGCAGGTGGCCTAAGGGCCTCCAGGCCAAGGGCCAGCCAGCAGTTAAGTTGCCCTTGCTTGCCTTATCAGCCACACCAGGCCATCAGCCCTCAAATCCCTGGAGGGACAGTTTGGGGGGCAAACAAGGAAAGTTGGCTTCAGTCACCCTGGAATCAAACAGCCTCAGAGACAGCAGGAACCCAGGGTCTGGGGACACAGGGAGGACAGTGGCTCTGGGGACTTGTGGAAACCTTGGGAGGGCTTCCCACTGAGGAGGAATAGGGCTCCAGCCAACGATATTTAATCTCAAAGGACACATGACCTTAGCTAACATTGGAGTTACAAGCAGCCTTGCTTTATATTATTATCTTTTTCGTTTATTGACACTCTGTATTCCTGACTAGACTGTAGGGTCTCTGAGGCCAGGGACTGGGTCTCATTTCCTCTTGTTCCACACCCGACTTCCCTGGGCAATAACAGTGACCCCAGCACTGAATCCATTTTGGTGGCCACCTGTGACATTCCCATTGAGAGAGGACTGTGGCTGTGATTCCTATCAACCCCCTCCAAACACACACACACACAGCACCTGGAAACAGCCCAGGGGCGGGTGAAGGTACTGCTAGGCTGCCAGGAGCCCCGGGCCCTAGCCTGTCCCCCACTACCAACATGCCACTTTGAGCAATCTTGGGGCAAATCCCTTGACTAACTCAGCTCTTGTTTCCCACACCCTCCAATCAACAGCTCAAGGAGCCACAAAGCAATGTTTATGGCTACCGCACTGGCTAGATTGTAAGAAGGACAAATAAGGCCGTTTCTAAGTAATTCCCGAACTGTTCAGATATGAAGGTTATAATGGCCAGGGACTGGCATGGGCTGGGGAGCCAAGCAAAGCAAATTGCCAGAGGCCTTTGTAACTGCTTCTGTGGCTGTACTGGTGGGGAACCAGCTCCAAGTCAAGTATGTGTACAAAGAGGACGCTCAAACCCCTGCTCTCAGCGTCTTGCTGCCTCCATTGGAGAGATAAGAAAGCAAAGGCTCAGAAAGTTTAACACAATCATGTGAACATCAGTAGGGTAGTCAAGAATTAACCCCATTAGGCCAATACTAATTCCAGGCTTCTTAAAGGCTCCAAGGGACTGAATTTCTGCCAAACTGAGGTTCTCCTTACCTTCTAAGAAAAAACATTCTCCAAATGATGCCACCATTATAATAACAATGTGAGACTGTTGGGGGCTTATGCTAGCCATCAGCTTGGTACTCTGAATTCTTGACATTGCTCAAGTTAAATTTTTGGTTTTAATTATTTGTGAGTGAACTAGAATGCTCATGGCATGCACTGATGTGTCATTTTGCTGTGCCCAAATTTAAATCAGAGCGCTGGGAGGCTGGTGTACTGGAAATATTAACAGTAAGAAAGGCCATCCTCTTGCCCAGCGGCTACATTTCAACATTGCTTTCTTGTTGTCACATGTCATATACCCTGGAGTTCTCAGGAGGTTATACAAAAAAAATTTTTTTGTTTTACTTTCTATAAAATATAGTTCTTGAAAAACAAGCCGACTTGTCTTGGTGATGGAAGGGAGTAGTATAAGAAGTATAAATTCCTGTTGTTTCTTAAGCCAGAAAATAAAAGTTTCAGATGAACTGCAGAGTAGGAGATTGAACCCAGTGGAGGCTCAGATCCTAAAAGTGACAGGTTCATCTTTTTCTCTTAACAGTAATTTTAAAAAAGCAATTTATAAAACCATTTCAAGCCATCAGTGGCAACAACAATAACAGTAACAAAAACAACTCTTCAATAAGCAAAAGAAGAAACTTTAGAGAAGTCAAAAAAGCATTTGATGTGTAGCATGAAGATGTAACCCTTGATGGAGATGGGGTTCTGGAGGAAGGCAATTACCTGAACAGATTTTTCCATACGTACAAATTTAGGGCACACAAAGGTCTCCAGCTCTTAGCCTGGAGAATATTGGAGGCCACTGGGAAGTCTTGTCTCACCATCAACTTGCTCATCCTTCAAATTTACCCCCACTCCCAGCCCATCCCAAATGGGATGTCATGATGGCGTGTCATCTAGTGGTTGAAATGATCACTGCAAATAACTGCCTTGGGCTTCCTGTTTCAATTTCATCACACCTTCATTTATTTGTTTGTTTGTTTGTTTGTTTATTTAGTGGATTGTTATTTTGTGCCTGATGCTGAGACTATAACAGAGAATATAGACATGGGCTTTCCTTCAGGAACCTCATAGTCTACTGGGGGGATCAGACACAGCAAATAAAATATGAGGGTAAGATCATAATATATGATAGGGAGCTAACAGAAAACTGAGGAAAGGGCACCTAAGCCAGATTTGGTGGCCAGGCAAGCCTTCCCAGAGGAAGCACCATCAATGCTGGGACCTGAAGAATCTCATTCATTAGGAAGTCATTCATTAAGCGAAGGAAGGGAAGGGAAGAGCCTTCCAGGTAGAGGGAACAGCATGCTTAAAAGCCAGGTATCAAGAGTACACAACAACTAGCACAGGCTGGGCTTTGAGCTCTGTTAAGAACTTTGAACTTCATCCTTGGGCGCAGTAAGAGCCATTTGTTTTTAGGGAAAAATGAAGAAAGCCTATAGCATTTTTTTTTTTTTTAAGCCTATAGAATTTGAATTTCCCCCAGGACCTCGCTTATACCTCTTCCTCTTAGAGTACATATCCTCAGCCCCCGGTCCCACTGCCAAAGAGTGGCATGACGTTATTCTTTTTGTTTGTTTGTTTTCTTCCCAGGCATGAGTTGCTCATCCCACATGCCCTTGATCTCTCTTTTCCTTCTGTCAGCAAAGAGGTTTGTTTTGCATTGTAATCATTCCTAAGCCAGGGCAGAAATTCAGGTCCTGCACAAATAGGTCTGGGAATGCCAAACTCCTAAGGCCAATGTCCTTAATGGGGGAATAATGGCTACTCTGAGGGGAAGGTCCCGGGAACCTGTGCCTCTGCATCCTCTGGCCATTTGTTAAAGAGGTAGCTTCCCACATCCCATCCCAGGCCTGCTCAGTCCTCACTCAGAGGTGGCTGGCCATGGAATAGGCACCAGTGCCCCAGGTGACCCTGCTACTCACTCAGGTAGGAAGCACAGCTGCTGTGGCCAAGAGCACCATCTCTGGGGTCAGTTCCCTCCATGGTTCAGTCTCAGCTCTGCCTCGACCTGTAAGTGGCTCATCTGTTTGACCTTAGGCCAATGACTTCATTTCCCTAAGCACGGCTTCCTCTTCTTGTAAAGGAGAATAAAAATCATAAAACCAACCTGGATAGGATTATTGAGAGGAGAAGATGAGGTTATGGCACAAAGTCTGGCATACAGGAAGGGTTCAGTAAAGATTAAAGAACAAGGACGGTCATGTCTTGGACCCCATTTCAGTCATAAGTGGGCACAGGGCTTAAGGCAGCAGGCCTGGATAATCAGGAACTGAAATCTAGGATTAAACACACCCAGAGAAGTAGGCTGGTACTGAGGGGGAAGAGGGAGCCTAGGTGCATCATACATGTTACTCTGAAAGGAGGGTGAGAGCCAGCAGTCCAGACAAGCAGTCTGCCTTAGGGCAGCTGGGAAAGGCCTAACACAGGGTCCCAAGTGCACAGCAAAGGGGGTGGAAATGAAATCTCCATGAAATGTTCAGAGGATCTGATAGGAGGCTTGGCTCTGCCAACTCTGGGTAGCAGTCACAATTCTTGCCACTACAAACCAGCCTAAGCAAAAAAAAAAAAAAAGAAAGAAAATTTGGGCGGGGGTTCATTTAACTAAAAGGGCCAAGGGTAGCTGAATCCAGTTTAAACAAGGTCATCAACCAGTCTCCAGTTCTCAGCTCTACTTCCTTCTGTCTTAGCTTTGTTGTCAGGCAGGCTTGTTTTTTGTCATGGCGAAAAGTCAACCAGCAGCTCCAAATGTAGCTCAGCATGTAGCAACCCCAGCAGAGAGACAGCCCCTCTTCTGCCATAGCTCCAGCAAAAATCCTGAGGCTGACATTCATTAGCTTGACCTGGGTCATATGCCCATCTCTGAACCAATCACCGTGACCAGGGAAATGGAATGTTCTGAGTGGCCAGGCATGAATCATATGTTCAATCTGGAATCCAAACTACATGGACTGACCGTAAAGAATTCCCTGAATAAAATGGCGGCCTTGATTCTGGCAGAAGATGTCAACCTAAAAAAAAAAAAAACCAAAAGCAAAACCATGAGAGTCCAGTTCAGAGGCAAGGTGTTTATTTGGGACCAAAGAACTGCAACTCGGGGTACACAGAATTAGGTAGAAAACCAAATAGTGTCCTGATTATAGGAAAGGGTCTCAGGATTCTTATGGGAAAAAAAGAGAGATAGATGAGGTAAGCTGTTTTTTTGTTTGTTTGAGGTAAGCTGTTTTTTTAAGAAGAGTTTATTGGTGTAAGACCAAGTAATTGATCAGGTGAAGTGTTCATTGATAAAAAGATGAGGTAAAGCTAGATTTGTACTTCACTGGTCAGGTGAAGTCGTCGCTAGGTAAAAGATCATTGATAGTCCTTTCAACAGGACATTCTGGTTTCTCTGCTGAGTTGGAATGTTGGTGGTTTTGTCCAGTTCAGAGGTATAGAAAACAGGACTTGTAAGAAGGCAGTTCCTCTGGAATGGCTGCTACGGCTCTATTTCATATGGCTCCACTCATGTCATCTTTCATAGAGGAATGAGGACAAGAGGTGACCTCATCTTGTCCATGTGTGAGACACCCCTGAGGCCAGAGGTCCCTGGAGTCAAGTACGCAGTCCCGTGAGCATCCATCCAGTTCTGCTGCAGCCACCACAGGCTTGGTCCTTGGACAGAGGATTACAGCAGCACTGGACAGCAGGCAGGAGGAGTCTCCCCACAGAGAGCTACGACACTACAGATGGTGCTTGCTGAAAAAGCAGTTCTGGGGAGAATTAGGCACAGCTGGTTTGTACAAGCCCCCAGCCAGATCTCCTTCAAGAGAGTCTGTAAAGGACAAAAAATAGGGGACCTTATTGGGGGAGGGGAGTAGGGAGATGCTAAAATGCCTCTAGCTCTTCAGAAGGCTAGGACTCCTCAGCCACGGTACCTGAAGCCCATGGGGGGCTGGCAGCTTGGGCTGGGAGGGCATTAGGGATGGTGTTCTTGCTCAGACACTCTTGCCTTTCTCCCTCCCTTCTTCTTAGTCCATCCTCCACCCTCACCCCAGCACCCTCTGAACTATGCAGCCCTGTGAATGAACCCCTTCACTCCTGACACGAGTCTCTTGGGCCCTTGTATTCATTCAGTCACTAGATTAGCGCCTGCTGTGGGGCACATCCTGTGCCAGGAACTGCAATGGGTCCCTCGGCATAGCCCACAACCTCTCGGAACACACAGCTCTAGAAAGTGTGCATTCTTTACTTTTAATTGCACAAGTTATGCATGCAGTGATTCTCCTTGTAAAATATTCCAACAATATCTTTACTACTAAGGCCACTTGACTCCACTCTCCCCAGCCAGTCACTCCCTCCAAGAAACCTCAGTTATACATTTGATGTTTATCTGTTGAAACAATTTTCTACATATGTACATCCTAACATGTTCACTTGCAGAAGCATATAGCTTTTGTTTTGGTGACAGTTAAAAAATAGGTCCAAAAGGGTACACCATGAGAAGTCTCCCTCCAGCCCCATCCCCCAGCTGGGGATGTGCAATCCCCTCTCGGAGCAGCCAGTCAGGGTCACCAGTTTCCAGTGCATCTTTCCAGATAAGCTAGGCCAGAAGTCAGCAAACCTTGTCTGGAAAGGGCCAGATGATAAATATTTTAAGCTTTGTGAGCTTATTGGTCTCTGTCACAACTACTCAACTCTGCCATTGTATTGAGAAAGCAACCATAGACAATACACTAATTAATGAGCATGGCTCATTAATGAAACTTTGTTTATGGACATTGCAATTTGAATTTCATATCATTTTTATATATAATGAGATAATATTCTTCTTTTGATTGTTTTTCAACTACTGAAAAATCTAAGCATCATTCTTAGATAGCTGGCTGTACCAAGGGAGGCAGCAGGCTGGATTTGGCCTGTGGACTGTAGTTTGCTGATCCTGGTCTATGCACAAAAAAGCAAGTGCCCGTGAATATTCTTTCCCCTCTTTTTTACATAAGGAGAGCATGCTATACACATTGTTCTGAACACTGATTTTCTCACTTTGTGATATATCTTAAAGATCGTGCCGCATCAGTTCATATAAAACCTCTTTTTTTTTTTTTTTTGCGGTACGCGGGCCTCTCACTGTTGTGGCCTCTCCCGTTGCGGAGCACAGGCTCCGGACGCGCAGGCTCAGCGGCCATGGCTCACGGGCCCAGCAGCTCCGTGGCATCTTCCCAGACTGGGGCACGAACCCGCGTACCCTGCATCGGCAGGCGGGCTCTCAACCACTGCGCCACCAGGGAAGCCCAGAACTTCTTCATTTTTGCCATTGGCATACATAGTATTACATTTTATTCCATGATAACACATGTACCATAATTTACCATAATTTCCTTAGCCCACCACTTATTGATGTGTTTTTAGGTTATTTTCTTTTGCTATTATAAACAAAGTTTCACTGAAATATCTTGTATTTATTTGTATCTGTGTGCATTTTTAGCTTTATTGAGATATAATCCATATACCTTACAACTCATCCATCTTAAGTGTACAATTAATTGGCTTTTAGTGTATTTACAGAGCTGTTCACACAGCAGTACATTCAATTTTAGAACGTTGCCATTACCCCAAAATAACCCCCTGACTCTTTAGCTGTCATCCCCTCGAAGTCCTGGGCAACCACTTAACTACTTTCTGTCTCTCTGGATTTGCCTATTTTGGATATTTATGTGGAATCATAAAATATTGATCTTTTGCGACTTAGCATAAGGTTTTCAAGGTCAATCCATGTTTTAGCATGTTATGAGTACTTCATACAATATTCTACAATGTTCTATTGTATGGCTATACAACATTTTATTTATCTATTCATCAGCTTATGGACATTTCAATTGTTTCCACTTTGGGGCTATTATGAATAATGCCGCTATGAACATTTGTGTATATGTTTTTATGTGAATATATCTTTCCATTTCTCCTGCTTATATGTCTAGGAGTGGAATTGCTGGGTCAGATGGTAACTTTATGTTTAACCATTTGAGGAAATGTCAGAATGTTTTCCAAGGTAGCTGCACCATTTTATACTCCCACAAGCAATGTATGAGGACTCCAATTTCTCCACAGCCTTGCCAATCTTTGCCATTATCCGTCTTAACTTATTTCTATATCTCAGGCTTTTTTCATATGTATATATATATATACATATATGTAGATCTTCTTTGTGATTGTTAAATGCTAGGTGGTATGTCAGAGCAAAACTGGAGCCCAGTTCAGCCATTCCCTCTTGATGGCTATCTAGACTGTTTCCAGCTTTTTATCAGTACAAACAGCACAGCAGTGCACATTCTTGTTTTACCTCCTTGTGCATAGAGTAAGCATTTCTTGAGGACAGTCTTTGAAGTGGAATTGCTGGATGAAGGGGTATGCACATTTACATTTTTTGAAATATTACAAACTACCCCCTGGAAAAACTCTACCAATTAACATTCCACCAACAGTGTATGAGTGCTCATTTCACTACATCCATGCCAGCCCTGGATATTGCCCCCTTCATTGATGCCAGCAAGCATCTTGTTTTCATTTGCATTTCCCTCATTAACGTGAGGTTGAAATCAGAGCCATATCCCAACTTGCGGCTCTCCTCCTCTTTGGCATCAGGGTGCTGCCCCTTCATCTCTGTGTCTTTCATACTGCCCAGCCCAGAGCTGAGTGCAGCAGCTACGGATAAATGTTGGAGTCAGGCACTGTGATTTTTGCAGTCCTATGTGACAAAAATATGTTCTGAGACCCTACAAAATTCTACAGTGTCTTAGTTCTCCAAGATTTAATTGCGGATGTTAGAGCTCCTATCTGAGCTGTGCTGACTTCTAAGCCTTAGAGAAATCAGAAATCCTTGACTCCTGGTCTAGGGAGCAATTTTTTAGTAAACAGCAAAACAACTTGAATACCTGGTCAGGCTGGAACACGGGAGTCTTTCAAAACAAGTCCTAGGATCCTGGGAAGCAGGAAATCTCTTCTGTTGGAAACTTCCTGATACCATCATCCAAACAGAATGGAAAAAAACCTTAGGGGTCATTTAAAGCTATCCTATTGTGCAAATCAGGAGGCGGAGGCCCCAGCTAGAGAAGTGACTTGCTCTAGGTCACATAACTAGTCAAGAACAGAGCTGTGAGCGCAGTCCAGGTTCTGATTCCAGGTCAGTGCTCTTTCCTCAAAACATGTGGAGTCAGAGAATTCACCTCCAAACTCCTCCCCAAACTCCTCTGCTCCTAACAGGAGAACTTGACCTTTCTCAGAAGCAGCATAGAATGGGGATTAAGGGCCCTGGTTTTTGAACCAGACAGCTCTAAATTCAAAACCCAGTGCAGCCACCAAGGTCTAGTAACTTTAGTCTTTGACCCTTGGTGTCTTCTTCCTTGACGGTTAATATCACCTACATCACAAGATTATAGCTGTAGTTAGTATTATTTACCTCACAGGATTATGTCAGATTTAAATGAGCGAAATTCAGTAAGCGCTCATTAAACTGCCTTTTATGTTTCCCCTCTAATCTCCTCCTCTCTTGAGTGATTTGTCTGTGAGGGTGTAAAGATTAATTTATCAGAGTGTAGGGAATTCCTGGTTCAGACTCCATGCAGTTGGGGGGATCATGCATCCCCCCCGCTTTGTTACTTCACTTGCCTAGGCTTGAGTTGCCACTTCCTAAGTCACTCCTTTATTAAACCACCATTCACAGCAGAGGAACTGTCCGCATCCTCGTTTGTTTGCATTGCATAAATTAGAAGGAGCTGAGAACAAGAGTTCCTTTGACCTCAGTCAACCTTGGCTGCCATTAGAATCATTGGGGGAACATTTCAAAAGCACCAAAGACTGCACCCTATCCCTTCCCTTATCCCTTATCCTGATCAGATTGGTTGGGAGTGGGGTCCAGGTGGCTTAAAAGCTCTCCCAGTGATTCTAATTGAAGTCAGGCTGGCGATCCACTGGTCTACATGAGTAGAGTTTAACACGCATCTGAATCACCTATAGAGCTGGGCCCCTTTCATTCAGTAGGTCTGGAGCGGGGCCTATGAATTTGCATTTCTTACAAGTTTCCACGTGATATGGATGCTGTCGATCTGGGGAACATTCTTTGATAAACGCTGATCTAGATGAACCTGAGAGGACCTTTGGGTTTTTCCCTTCCCAGCATCGTTTCCCCCTCTGGTAACAGCTCATGACTTGCCTTTAGTGAACTACCCCTCTTCATATCTTAGGCCACGGGTGTAAGCGATACTCACCCTCTTCCCAACTTCAGGAGAACATGACAAAGTCTGGCCAATCAACAGAATCTACACCCTGGCTCCGGGGAGTGATTGGTTTAGCAACGGGCATATCACTTAACAGTCCAGTGAGAGTCAGCCCTGGGATGTTTCCTGGAACCCTTGGGAAGAAGTGCTAAGCTGGTAAGTTGTAAACCTGGGGCTGCTGGGGAAGAACCTGCCTGAGGATGAAGCAGGCAAAGGAGGGCAGAAGAAGAGACTAACAGAGACCAAGTCCCGATGACACTTTCTTATCCCCTGGATCCAGCCAAGCCTGAATTTAGACCTAAATATTTCAGTTATATGAGTCAATAAATTCCCTTTTGGTACATCACAGGGAATATAACCAATATTTTGTAATAACTTTAAATGGAGTATAATATATAAGAATATTGAATCACTGTGTTGTATACCTGAAACTAATATAACATTGTAAATCAACTATATTTCAATAAATAAATAAATTCTCTTTTTTGCTTAAGCCAGTTTGGGGTGGGTTTTGTCATCTGCAATTCAAAAAGTGCTGGGAATTCCCTGGTGGTCCAATGATTAGGACTCCATCCTTTCACTGTCAAGGGCCCAGTTTCGATACCTGGTTGGGGAATTAAGATCCCACCATAAGCCACGGTGCAGCCAAAAAAAAAAAAAAAAAAAAAAAGTGCTGAGTACATGGGACATCTACAATGCCTTACCACCCAAAGGGTGGGATTCCAGGTTCTCTCCTGGATGCTACTCCCGTCAGGCAATAATCTTCACAAAGGCCCCAGAATGGAGCAGAAGAACTCCTAGAGGTCATTTACTGCCATTCTCCTCCTTGTTTATGTGGGGAGACCGGGGGGACAAGGAAGGGTGAGGACACGTCCTGAGTCATGCATACAACAAAGCCAAAGGATATCAGCCCTTAGCTCTGTCAGTAAATACACCCAAACCAGTGGGTGATAACAGCCAGCAGTGCAGTGCCAAAACACTGACAAGTTTCCTTCTCAAGGACACCCATACAGGGACAGGGGCTCCCTCCTTCAGCATGAAAAAGAGCATTACTGTGTCTTAGTTTCTCTAATTGCACTTGAACAAACACACAGATAAATGCTGTTGTTCTCTTTTTTTTTTTTTTTTTTGGCTGTGTTGGGTCTTCATTGCTGCGTGCGGGCTTTCTCTAGTTGCGGCGAGCGGGGGCTACTCTTCGTTGCGGTGCACAGGCTTTTCATTGAGGTGGCTTCTGTTGTTGTGGAGCACGGGCCCTAGGCATGCGGCTTCAGTAGTTGTGGTACACAGGCTCAGTAGTTGTGGCTCACGGGCTCTAGAGCGCAGGCTCAGTAGTTGTGGCGCATGGGCTTAGCTGTTCCGCGGCATGTGGGATCTTCCCGGACCAGGGTTCCAACCCGTGTCCCCTGCACTGGCAGGTGGATTCTTAACCACTGCACCACCAGGGAAGTCCCAATGCTGTTGTTCTTAATCAACGAAATGGAGTTTATGGAAATGGGAAGAAAGTTTTTTCAGGGGATAAATATGAGCAAAAAGAGGAAAATGAAGCCCCCGGTAATCTCACTACCTGTGCTAACATTGACAACATTTAGGGAGCATATTCCTTTGTGTTTGTTTGCTTTACCTATGAAGATTTACATCAGGAAAGGTGGAGATGTGCTCTGGGGGACCCAAACTATCCTTCTCAGGAACGAATTGGGGTGAACCTTGGAAATGAAAGAGGAAAAGATTTCTTCCATTCTTGGGGGTTGTATCAGACAGGGTTCTTCGTGTGAGCACCAGAAATTAGAGAGCAGGGGATTTTTTTGGAAGGCCAATGGAAGCTTACACAATTGATGAAAGGCTAGAAGAGCAGGCTTGGGTCAACAGGACTTAAGGAAACTGAGGGTCAAGAAGCATAAGTAGGAAAATCAGTCATTTCCTTTAATAGGGACATAGGTAAGGATGCTATCAATGACCCACAACTGCTATTGCCACAAAGAGAACGGCCAGAAACCACTTCCTTGTCCTTGCCAGAGTTAAAGTCCTGGGAAAAGAGCATGTTAGAGCACGTGTTCCCCACTGATTCCCCCAGGTGAGTCGAGGAGGGATCTGACCTCTTTGACTTCAACTGGAGGAGGCCAGCAGGGGAAGAAAGGAGCCAAGAAGTACCCCCTCCCCAAGACAGTCAGGGAGGCAATTTCCCTTAATGAAGCTGGGGTGCTTTGGGGAGGGGGATGGGTGGTGTAGAGCCCCAAACTAAGAGCTACCCACTAGTGATCCTAGAGAGGGCAAGAGCATGGGGGCTGCTGCCTCTAGGGCCGGTTTATCACTGAGCCTGCAAACCAGTCCCAATCTACTACCCTAGCACACTGTTGGTGTACCTCTGAACGAAAGCAACCATGTTTGAGCGTATGTGGAAATACAGAGCTGTTACACTGGGTGTCCAGGCTATGTGTCATGGAATATGTGCAAAAAAAGTCTTTTCCCTTTCCCACATCCCCCTGGGAAGCACCTGCAGGACCAGCCAGATGGAATGTGCCTTGATCAATGAAGTGGTTTCTTTAGAGGGTAGGGGCTGTACCTGGGGCTGGGTGTTGTCGACCACGTGTCTCCAGGCGGTGGAAGAACACGGCCTTTAGGCAACCAAGTTGCCCCTTTTCAACAGTGCCCTCCTATGGCCGTCTCAGCAACTGCAGGATACCTAGTGGTCAGGCTTCTCTGTTCTCCTTCAGGAGATGGCAACTAAACTGCCCGTTAGGACTAAGTAACTGCTCTGAGAGTTATCCTGGAAGAGAGGGCCACAGGTTGGGAGGAGAGTCATTCTCAGAAGAGGTGGGATGGGAACTCAAGTCATTCAATTTTAGTAATAAAAATCACGTGACATGGTGCTTCCCTGGTGGCGCAGTGGTTAAGAATCCGACTGCCAATGAAGGGGACACGGGTTCAAACCCTGGTCCGGGAAGATCCCACATGCTGCGGAGCAACTAAGTCCGTGCGCCACAACTACTGAGCCTGTGTGCCACAACTACTGAAGCCTGCGTGCCTAGAGCCCATGCTCTGCAACAAAAGAAGCCCGCGCACCTCAATGAAGAGTAGCCCCCGCTCAACAGAACTAAAGAAAGCCTGCGTGCAGCAACGAAGATCTAATGCAGCCAAAAATCAATTTAAAAATAAAAAGTATTTTTTAAAAAATCACGTGGCATAGCATCCTTCTACGTAAACACTATTCACCAAGATCCTTTGGGTACTGATCTCCTGGCTAAAATCCATCCAGCTGTCCTTGAATCTGTCTCACAGTTTTCCATCATATATAACCATGAGGATATCATGCCTCTGCTTGTCCACTGCCTTGCTCAAGTTCAGACATACTATGTCTCTATCATTTCCTTGTCAAAGAGGGAATTGAGGGGCTCACTTATTGAAGGGAAGCGAAGGAACTAAATCCCTGACCTTCAGTGTCCCCTTTATTTCTGGGGGTGGTTTGTAAGAAACTCACAGTGCACTGGAAGTTCGGAGCCTTGATCCTTGCTTCCAGCTTGGCCATTAACTTGCTGTGTGATCTTGAGCAAGGTGCTGGAGCTCTCTGAGCCCCACAACCCTCCTCAGGCAAATAACCTCCACAATGCACATCTCAGGGCTGCTCATTGGTTTGAATGAAGTTAATGTTGCAGAAACCTAGAAAAGACAAAATAAGTAATTATTAACAACAAGTAATGTGGGGAGATTTTCTGCTGCAGTATTGGCTTTTCTGCATCCGCAGAGCTGAGGAACTAGGAAATAGGGTTCTGGTTCCGAAAAACAGCTGTTAAGGGATCTTTCTGTGTGTGTGTACTTGTGTCTGCATCTCTGACTCATGTTTCTCTCTGCGTGTCCCTCTGGGTCTCTATCTCTCCCCTTCCCCCACTCTTCCCTTACCTTTTCCCAGTCTTAGGCCAGAGCTGATGTTTCTTCACAAGTGACAATTCAGGGCCCTTTTAAACCAGATCTGCCCTCCCCTAATGGTTGTGCTAGGCAAAATGAAGCCAAGTCAAGACAGCTTCTGGGTTTCTCTGGCTCCAGGCTTGAAAGGTAGAGCATTTCAGTTTCTTGCAAGTCCCAGTTAAACAGGGCCTTAGTGGCAGATCAGGGCAGAGAAGTCCCAGGCTGCTGTACTAGGCTCCTGGGGAATGGGGTAGAGGGAGAGGTGGGGGAGGGGATTGCCAGCAACTTGGTGACTGATGGCTTCAGGCCAAGGTAGGCGGCACTGATGCCACCATCTCAGCCCTGCTTCCTGCCCACCTGCTGGCCTCTGCCAGCTTTCTTCCTCTCTAGAGTCTCTGGGGTCAAGACAAACCTGGGTACAAATCCTGACTCCCCCATCTGCTCACTGTGTAACCCTGGGCAAATCATTAACCTCTTCTAACTGGATTTCTTTGTCTGGAAAATGAAGACGATAAGAAGTTGTAAGGATCAGGTTGAATAATACCATAGCATAGAGTGGGAGCCAGCAAATTATAGGCTGTAGACCAAACCTGGCTCACTCCCTATTTTTGTATAACCTGCAAGCTAAGAATGGAATATTTCTAAATGGTTGGGGGAAAAAAAAAATCAAAAAAGGGTAGTATTTCCTGACATTGAACATGATATGAAATTCAAATTTCAGTGTCTCTAAATAAAGTTTTATTGGCACACAGCCACACCCATTTATTTATGTATTGTCTAGGGCGACAGAACTGAGTAGTTGGGACAGAGACTGTATGTGGTGCTCAATGCCTAAAATACTTTCTGGCCCTTTACAGAAAAAGTGTGCCTACCCTGGGCACAGGTTTAAGAGTACAAACTACCTGGGTTCAAATCTCTGTTCTGTCACTTACTAATTTTGTGACACTGGGAAGGTCATTTAATCCATATGTGCCACAATTTCTTCTTCTGTAAAATGGGGATAACAATTGTGATTAGGGGTTGTTTTAAGGATTAAATGAGTTAATATTTGTAAAGCACCAGGACCAAAGTCTACACGCAGTATTATGTAAATAAACAAAGAAGATCATGTATATGAGGAATTAAGCAATGATCTTGTGTTATGGATTTGGTTGGAAGCAAAATCAGAAGGAATGGTGGCTTTATCCCTGATACTGTCCTGGGCAACATTTTTTTGTGTGTGTGTGTGTGGTACGCAGGCCTCTCACTGTTGTGGCTTCACCCCTTGCGGAGCACAGGCTCCAGACGCACAGGCTCAGCGGCCATGGCTCAGGGGCCTAGCCGCTCCGCGGCATGTGGGATCTTCCCGGACCGGGGCACGAACCCGTGTCCCCTGCATCGGCAGGCAGACTCCCAACCACTGCACCACCAGGGAAGCCCTGGGCAACACTTTTTTGGTCAGACACTTGAATGAAGACATCTGAGGTAAGACAGTGGAATGCATGGAAGGTGTGGACGGGAGTGATTGTGGGAGGACGGAATTGGATTCCTAGAGACTCTGTCAGGAACAAATGCACTGACTATACAGGTGACAATTTGGAGGGCTAAGCCTACATGCGGCTGGTTACTCTACAGAGATATTAATGTGTGTTTTGTCTTTTTGGGGTTTTGGTTTTTGTTTGTTTTGCTGCTATTGGACATTAAAGAGAACGAGAGCTGGTTTCTTGTCTCCTCCTTGACCACCTCACCTCTCCAAGAGGACAAGATTTTGCATTCATGGAGTCTTGAAAAGAAGTTGAAAGTGGAGGCGTTTCTCCCAAGGTGGAAGAGGGTTTGGAAGACTTGAGGTGAGCGAGGAGACATGACATAGTAGCAGCATGTATGACATCCATTTTAATACAAAGCATAACGTGCTAAACCAAAGTGAGTACAATCTCAGGCCACGTTAATATCAATAGAAGTAGGTCTTGTAGAAAGAGGGAGGTGATGTCCTTCCATCTACTCTGGTCAGCGCATGTCCTATCCTGGGCAATTTAAGAGGGATGTGGACACATTTGGTGGTATCCCCATACCTTCTCATCAGTTGCACTGGGTTCTTCCCCACCCTCATCATCCCTGGCCCATAGGAACAGTTGATAAATGCCAGTAGCTCCTGTCTTCCAATCATTCTCAATTATGCAGAACTCACTCACTCTTCCCTGGTGAAAGCGGGCCTGGAGGATGAGTCCTGCTTCAGATCAAAATTTCTACTTTATCAGCAGCTACAAAGACATTAACCTGATCCCTGGGTCAAAGTTTAGCTTGTTCAGCAACTCCTAGAATCACCTGGCCTTAGGAGATCCTGCTTAGGCCCCAGTGGTCTCAGAGACTGGGTGGCCCATCTCAGTCTTCAAGGACCCCTGCCATGTGCCTACAGCCTGATTTCCCAACCTTATCTTCCACTACTCCCCTTTACACTTGTATAACTCAGCCAAAGGGGAGCACAGTTCAGCTTTTTCAAAAGCATGTACTATCTTAGTCGTTTTTTGGTTGCAAGGGGCAGAATGCCAACTCAGACGGGGTTCACCAAGAAAGGAAAGTTTATTGGCTCATGTGACTGAGATGTACAGTGCTGTCTGGCATCAGGCCCAGTTGTATCCAGCACCTTAGGATCTCTCTATCTCAGTCTCTAGGCTCAGCGTTAGCTTCATTCGCAGACCAACTTTCCCCTAGGAAGTTGTAAAATGGTTGCTGAAAGCTCCAGACTCAAATCTGGAGCTCAATGACCCTAGTAGAAATAGAATTTCACTCCCCCAAGAGTTTGAGCCCAAGGCTCAGGAGATGACTCTCAGGGAACAGACTGGGGTTATCCCAAATCAAGTCCTGTGGCAAGAGGCATTGAACACAACAATTGAATAGGCCCAAGTCACATGCCCCAAGATGCAGGGGAAGAGACCCCATTAAGAGTTGGGGGTACAATTAGGGTCCGTGTTTCTTATACCCAAGACTTGAGAGTGGGAAAGAGTGGTTCCTAAAGGACACTGCATTCTGTGATTAGAAGCAGTGGAAACAGGTGATGGGCAGGCAATAGCACATGCCCATCACCACACATGCTGTACCGTTCCTCCTGGCAACCTAGTGATCTGGTATCAGTCTGACAGAGAGCGAGGGAAGTAAAGCCAGGAAGAGCACCTCTGGATGTTGGAGGGAAAGGCCTGCATTTCTTTAGGACACCTTGCTGGCTTTGGGAGGGGACTGGAAGAGGGGATGAAGGAGCCATGGGGAAGATTTTGAAATCTGAAAGTTGATCTTCCTGCAAAGATCATGACTAATGAAAAGAGAGATGCCTCTGGAGACTGGGCCCAGAATCAGGGAGGGAAACCCAGGAAGCCGGGGAGGAATTGTGCAGCATACACTACCCAACAACCTTCTTCCCCCTCCATCCTTCTTTGAAGAGCCCTATACTGTTCAGGTGTCTACTCAGCCCAGCTTCAGGGTGAATCATGATGGCTCCAAGCCTATCATGATGCCCCACCCTTCTTGCCAGCAACTGGACTAGGTATGAATGTGTGATGTAATTCTGACCAATGATATGCTGGGGCCTTTTCAGAACCATTTTCTTTACTAACAAAAAGAAACACATAGGAAGACACACACAGACCATCCCCCTATGCTGGACACTGTCATGTCTGGAAGTGCAGCAGCTATCTTGTAGCCAAGAAGAGAGCCAGCCTGAAGGCCATGTGACACCTGAAGAGGACAGAGAAGAAAAATGGAAAGAACCTGAGCCTTTGCTTATGACACTGAGCCACTGAATTAACCAATCCTGGAACCATCCTACTTTGGACTTTTTAGAGTGCAGTGTAATAAGTTATCCTTATTGCTTAGGACTCACAATGGAGTCCTCTCTTACTGTAGCCACAGCACACTAAATGACTCACATAGGCTTTGCTTTATTGAAAGAGTATCTGAAGAGAGAGGACATTTCCGACACTGGGTGCTAAGGCTCTAGGCAAGCTGCACAGCCACTCTGGGAAGTGCAGGGTGGTGGAAAGAGGATGTGCTTTAGAGACTCATATGCCTAGATCCGTCACTTATTAGCTGTGTGCTCTTGAACACATTCATTCACCTCTCTAGGCATCAGTGTTTTCATCTGTAAAATGGGAAGAATAACCTGTACTTCATCCAGTTGTTGTAAGGATCGAAAATGTGTACAGAGTTCTCACATACAATTATAACGGTCACATATGGAAGGATCGCTTTTGTCTGTACATCACTGGACCAGGATCTCAGTGATGTCCAAACAAACAATGACTGATAAAGCGATGATACTTTATCAGAACCTCCTCAGAAGCTTCTTGAAAAATCCGGATTTCTGGACTCCATCCATGGGGATCATGATTCAGTAGATCTGAGGTGGGATCTGTGTATTAGTCTGGACTCTTTCTTTCTTTCTTTCTTTTTAATATTCCAAACCCTTTATTTTTAGAGTATCAGCACACTCCCAGAAAATTAAGTTCACAGCAGTTTCTGGGTACCATGATTTTTTGGGGAGAAAAACAAAGCTCCCAGGGTGATACCTATTATCCCCATATTCAACTTCCCCTTCTCCTTGTCTTCCTCCTCCTCCTTCTTCTTCTTTGCTCTATCCTCTTGGATAGATGGGTTGAAAAATTATATACCCTTAAAGATGTTGCATTCTAACCCTCAGTACTTGTGACTGTGATCTTATTTGGAAATAGGGTGTTTGCAGATGATCAAGTTAAGATGAGGTCCTTAGGGTGGGCCCTAATCTA